CCCGGCGCGGCGCGGGTCGGTGGAGGCTGGCCCTGCCCGACCCCGCCCACCCCCGCCTCCAGGAGCGCGAGCAGAACAAGTTGCTGCGGGTGCACGAGAAGATGACCTGCGCATTCAAGGTGTCGGCCAGGCACAGCAGCCTGCGGCGCGAGCTGCAGCTGGAGGACGAGTCGGAGGACCAGGAGGTGCGCGCCGAGGCTGAGCGGCTGCGCGCCGTCCAAGACCACACGGCCTGGAAGCTCTCGGTGACCAGAGGTGCCGCTCCCCGGCCCCGACGTGGGGTCGCCTTCGTGGTTGGCCCAGCTGTGCTGCTCCTCTGCTTGCACTCTGGAGGGCTGCCCAGATGCCTACCTTAATTTCCTCCCACCGGTTTAAACCTGGCAGTCTAGACTTAGATGCTGCCCAAATTGGGCCCTGGGGGCATAGGGCACCCCGAGTAGAGATCACACTGCCCCATTTTTTCTCACCGCGCCGTTCCGGTCCTGGCCAAAAGGATTTTCCTTATTAAGTCCAGTTGGGTGGTACTTCCAGGGCGGGGGTTGTCCGGTCTCATTCCAGGTGAGAAGAGCGCAGCAGCAAGAGAGGCTCAAGGCGGACACATGAAAGGACTTCCCACCTGGCCCCGCCCCCACCCTGGAGGGTGTAATACATTAGCTGAGCCTTCGCTCCTTTTGCTGGTCTCGGAGCTCTATGTCCCAAGGCCCCGGGCTCACTCGGGACGGAGCCCTGCCGCAGGAGCGGCTGACTGGCCCCGCACTAACTGGCTGGGTGCCCGTCCTCCCTCCCTCGCCCACCGCCCTCCGCCCCCAGAGCCTCCCTCCTTTCATTGCAGAAATGAAGGGGGACCCTGAAAACATAAACAACTACATCCACCGGAAGCGCCAGGAATTTCTCATCCAGGTAGGCGCTGCCGCGCCCGCGGGGGACGCAGCAGGGCCGTCGGCGAGGAGTGTGACTCGCGCTCTGGTGGCCGCAGTACTCCCTGGACGTGAAGCGGAGAGAGATGCAGCGGCTGGAGACGCTGGCGGCCGGGGAGGAGGCGGAGCTGCGGCGGGCCGAGAAGGCCCTGGAGAAGGCGGCCTCTCAGTTCGACCAGTTCCTCAGGGACAGTGACCGCAGTTCGGGGCAGGCCTTGAGCACGTGAGCCTGCGGCCTCAGGCCGCTCTGCACGGGGCCCGGGCGTGTGCGGCCTGGCCTGCCCGGCCCGGACACGCCCCGCCCCGCCCTGCCCCCACCCTGACCGTGACCCAGACCCCTGACAGCTCCCCCACCCCCAGCGTGGCCTGAGGGAGTGTGGACGCCCCAGTTTAACAGTCTACGATTGGCTCCTTGCCCCCACCCCCCAGCGCCGAGAAAGAGACCAAAGCTAAGATGGAGAAGATCACTGAGATCAGGGATCTGACCACCCAGATAATGAATATCAAAAGGTACAGTCAGACAGTGACTTTAATGGGGTACGTGGTTGGGGACTTGATAATAGGGGGAGTCTAGTAACCATAATGTTGTTCAAGTAATTGTACTTTAACGATACCAAAAAAAAAAAAATACCGGTAAGGGCAGTCTGGGTCCAAGGCTGGCTTGGAGTCCTCGCCCGCCCCCACCTCTCCGCTTCCCCCTGTAGCCAAGGGAGCCCTGCAGAGCACAAACCTCATCACTTCACTTCTGACACCTCAATTTCTCAGGGGCTGCTAGGCCTGCGGGCGGCTGCTGCCCGTTTTACAGATGAGGTGACAAGCCTAGAGAGATTCAGGGGCATGCCACCAGGAGGCAGGGCCCACTGGGCTTCAGGGAACCCCTGGCTCCACCTTGACAGGGGCAGACAGTCCCCTGGGTTCTACTGAAACTTGAAAGTCACAGAGGGCTCTGACTCTAGGAGGTGCAGCCCACCTTGGTCCCCGGAAGGGTGGGCATCCTTTTCCTCCCCTGCCTGTCAGCCAGGAGGACAAGGAGTGCCCCGGCCTGGCCAAGCAGAGAGGCTGCCTCTGGAGGGGTCTCCCAGCAGGCAGAGCCTGGTCTCACCCATGCCCTCCCTGGTCTAGTGAAATCTCCAAATTTGAAGACACTCTGCACCATTACAAGGCCTACAAGGATTTCCTGTACAAGCTGTCGCCCAAGGAGTGGTTGGAAGAACAGGAGAGAAAGCACTCGGCTCTCAAGAAGGCCAAGGAGGTCACCGAGGCCCCCAAAGAGAGCACTGTGTTCCCCACACTTGGGGACAAAGGTAACAGAAAAGCAGGGGCTCCCTGAGCCCACCTATGCCCGGTGCTCAGCTGACAGGGGCCTCAGAGGCGTCCAGGCCACAGACTAGGCCCCTTCCTACCTTGCAGAGCTCCAGCCAGGGGTAGCTAGCCCTTCGTGGCTCCGCCCCAGCACTTGCTCAGGGAAGATGTGGCTGGCTCTCAACTCAAACCCGAGGGGCTTTCCTCCCATGCACCTCCTGCCTTCTGCAGCTGAAGGGCAGACAGTTGGGAGGGTCCTGGGGAACCCTGTGCCCCAAGCAGAGTCACTGGAGGCCTGGCTCCAGCCAAAGCCCCCTGGGACTCCCCCCTTGCTTCTTATAGGCCTAGGGACCAAGAGCAAGTCAGGCTTTAAAGGTACGAGGCTGCCCCAGGCTGGAGGGGCCCCGCCAGGGCTGGGGCACATGGAAACTATTCCTCTGCTTCTTCCAGATGGTCAGGGCCCAAAGAGGCTCTCAAAGTTTCTGCAGATGGTGCAGCTGGGGCAGGCCCAGTGCAGCTACATCAGCCCCCAGCAGGCCAGCCAGCCCAGCACTGCTAGCGGGCTGGATTCCAAAGGGTGAGTGGGCTTGCCGGGCCAAGGAGGCATCTGGGGCTTAGTGGGGAGCCCTCCATGATGGCTGCAGGCCAGGGTACTTTGGACAGGCCAAGCCTTCCTGAGGGGGAGGGCATGAGCTGAGGCTGTTCCCAAATCTGAGGGTGTGCCATCTGACTTAAGCCTGCAAAGATGTTTTCTAAGCATTTCTCAATGTTTGTTTCTATCTGATTTGGTAAACTTAAGGCCCAGGTAGCCTCCTTGGGTGCTAATGAGGACAGTCAAATGTGAAGGATAGACAGCCAGGCGGGCACATAGAATCAAAGGGCACTGTATAAAGTTGCTATTTTTGTGGTCAAAACAGTACTGGCATCTCCTTATGATTCAACTTAAATACAGGCCAAGATGACTTTTATACCCATCCTTCCTGTCACAAGATTGCTGACCCTGCACCATCTCCCTTTTGTCTATTAGCAACATAGCCAGGAGTCTGTCCAGATGCTGTCCTTCTCAGCCAGGGTTCCAGGTTCCCTGGTGGCCCCTGCAGCCCCTGGCCAGGGTGGTAATCATAGTCACAGTGTGTGAATGTGGGGGTCACCGACCACAGACTCAGATGGCTGTTATGCATTTGCTTCCGGGGCCACTGCCAGGGTGCTGACCTGTCCCATGGAGTCTGGACCCCGTTGGACCAGAGGGATGGAAGGCTGGAGAGCCCTATGGGGAGCCCTGAGAGAGAGAGAGTGATTGGCATGTGTGATTAGGGGCTGGCAAGCCCACATTCTGCAGGGCAGACCACAGGCTGGAGCCCAGAGAAGAGGAGCCAAAGGCAGTCAGTGGGCAGAGTCACCTCTTCTTTGGGGAGGTCAGTCTTTCTATCGAGTGTTGGAGGATGCCCACCACACTGAAGGGTGAAGCACCACCTCTGCACTGTGGTGGGTCGGACACCCAGCGCCAGACCTCTGCGCCCCAGGCTGGGCAGCATTGCCCTGACCCCATGTCTCTCTACAGGTCAGACTCCACCTTGAATGAGGACACAGACAGCAATGGGGAGGTCAGTGGCCCCACTCTGCGTGGGGGCTGTGGGAGCTGGTTCCCCCCAGACCCACCCAGCCTGCCTGCACACATGGGTCCCTTTGCAGGAGCTGGAGCTATACTTCACGGAGCCCCAGCAGCTCCTGGACATCTTCACAGAGCTAGAGGAGAAGAACCTCTCACTGATCCAGAACACACAGGAGACGGAGGAGACGCTGGAGGAGCTGAACTTCACCTTGAGAAACACCCAGACCCGCATGTAGGTCCTGTGCCAGAACCACTCAGGTGGGTGGAGGTGGGCTCCATCACTGGCTGTCATCCTGCGACTGCCAACAGACACTGGGAGCCAGGCAGTGTGGCCCCTGCCACAGCCTTGGCCCTGACCTCAGGGCTCCAGGGAGAGGGCGTGTCCTCTGGGGCAGGAGCCTGGGAGGGGGACAGGGGTCAGGTGGGTGGAGCCACACAGGGCTGGTCCCCTCCCTGCCCTGGAGCAGCCTGCACCCAGGGTGGGACATCACCAAGGACATGCCCCCTGGGTGCGTTCTGGTGCATCCCGGGTCACGCCCTGCAAGGATAAGGCAAGGCCATGCCTCACGGAGCTAATGTTCAGTGGGGAAGACAAACCACAGACAGGACCACACATCCAACTTGGAGGTACTGACACATGCTCGCTGGAAAACAGAATGATGTAAGGGGTCTGAAGCAGATGGGAGAAGGCAGGGGAGGCATCCAGGGGAAAGTCATTTGAGCCAGGCACTTTCTGAGCAAGGGAAAGCCACATGGATCTGTTGGATGAGGGCTCCATGCAAAAGGAAAACAAGTGCAAATGCCCTGAGGCAGAGGCTGGCCCAAGGCTTTGACATCCCAGGGGAGCCATATTCTTGAGAGTCCATGTCCTGCCCTCCTAGCAGGAGACTCCAAAATGATGTGAAACCATCATTTGGGCAAGATTGTCTCCCAGAAAGCTGGGAGGCAGCAGAGACAGCACGAGATGAGCTGGGGAGAAGCAGGCAACCTGCCAGGTTTCAAGAACCTGACAAAAGAACACACACACACGTACATGGCGGAATCCTGGAGGTGCTGTCGGTCATCGGTCATCGGCCAGCTGAGCCACTTCCATAACTGCACCAGCCCAAAGAGCACTGATGTTTTATCTCCAAGGGAGTCACAGTCTGTACACATTTTACTTCCATGAACTCAGCCACCCTTTCTCAGTAAATAAGTACATACATATATATATATATAAAATAAACACTTAAAAAATATATACAACAAATAATCTGAATATGTCTATCTATTAAGGAAATTGATCCAATAATTAATGACCTTCTGAAGCAGAAAGCACCAGACCCAGATGACTTTACTGGTGAGTTCTACCACATGTTTATGGAAGAAACTACACCGATTCTCTACCGTCTCTTTCAGACAGTAGAAACAGAGGGAGTACTTCTAACTCCACAGACCAGCATCTCTCATAAACATAGATGTAAAAACCCTCAGCAAAATATTATCAATTGAATTCAACAATGTATAAAGAATTATATACCATGACCAAGTGGGATTTTCCCAGGTATACAAGGCTGATTCAACATATAAAAATCAATTAATATAATCAGTCACATCAACAAGCTAATGAAGAAAAAACACATGATCATATCAATAGATGCAGAAAAAGCATGTGCTAAAATCTAACACCCTTTCATAAAAACACTTTCAATAAATTAGGAATACAGCAGAATTTCCTTGACTTGATAAAACCCTAAAGCTAACATCATGCTTTCCTGCTAAGATCAGGAACAAGGCAAAGATGTCCTCTGCTTTTCAACACCTTACCAGGAGACCTCATTAATGCAATAAAAGAAGAAAAGCAAATAAAATATACAGGTTTCTCCACTATCCAAAAGTAGAACATACATATGAAACCTTTTGTAAACCAAAATGATACAAAGCAAAGGAGCAATCCCCATTCTCTATATGGAAAATTTTTATTTTAGCATTCCAGGCACAAATAATCTCTTTTATGCTTTTATGATACCTTGGGACACATCTTGCTAATGGACACACAAAATAAGTCGAGATAAGGCACAGACACTCAGAGACCCAGTTCAGAGCTCCAGTGGCCTGCTGCCTCTGCTGAGTGTGACTCCCAGGGAGGGGGCTGGACACGGCCACTCTCACACTCAGCGTGCGTGCTGCCCATGTAACAGCTCACTGCAAAGCAAATGCTGAATGCTATTTTTGTTTTTCACCTTTTTTTGTAAAAGCAAAAATCCTCGTCATATTTCTTTCAGTCAGGGAAAACAGGTATTGATGTAGGTCTTTAACAAAAGCAAAGTGGCATAACTCAAAGTTTCAGAAAGTGGGAGATGCTTGTATACAGATGGGGAAGGAAAAAAATGAAACTGTTTTTGTTCACAGATGATACTATCTGTGAGAAAATCTGAACAAATCAACCAAAAACTCCTAGAACTAGTAAGCCATTACAGCAAGGTTACAAAATATGTTAGTATACAAAAATCAATCACTTTCCTATATAGCAGCAATGAACAAGTGGAGTTTGAAATTGAAAACACAATACCAATTATATTAGCAACTCCCAAATGAAATTCTTATGTATAAATCAAACAAAATGTGTACAAGATCTCTGTGAAGAAAACTACACAATTCTGAATGAACAAAATAAAAAAAGAGCTAAACAGATACATTCCATATTTATGGGTAGTAAGACTCAATATTGTCAAGATAGCAGTTCTTCCCAACTTGATCGATTCAAATTCAATCCCAGTCAGAATTCCAGCAAATTGTTTTGTGTATATTGACAAACTTATTCTGCAGTTTATACAGAGAGGTGAAAGACCCAGAACAGCTAACACAATACTGAAGGGGAAGAGCAAAATTGGAGGACTGACACTAGCCAACTTAAGCCTTATTATAAAGCTACAGTAATCAAGATGTGTGGTATTGGCAAAAGAATAGACAAGTAGATCAATGGAACAGAGTCAAGAGCTCAGAAATAGACCACACAAACACAGCCAATTGACCTTTGAACAAACTCACAGAAGCAAAGATATTCTTTTCAATAAATGCTGGACTTCCACATACAAAAAAAAAAAAAAAAAAAAAGGAAAGAATATAGAGATGACCTTACACCCTTCACAAAAACAAACTCAAAATGGATCGCAAACCTAAAGGTAAAATGCAAAACTATAAAACTCCTAAAAGAAAACTTAGAGGAAAATCTAGATGGTCTTGTGTCTGGTGATGACTTTTTAGATATAATACCAAAGTTACAATCTGTGAAAGAAATAATTGAAAAGATCGACTTCATTAAAATTTAAAAATTCTGCTTTATGAAAGGCAGTGTCAAGAGAATGAGGAAACAAACCACAGGCTGGGAAAAAATATTTGCAAAATATATACCTGATAAAGGACTGTTATCTGAAATATAAAGAACTCCTAAAATTTAACAATAAGAAAAATGAACAGTCTCATTTAAAAGTGGGCCAAAGACCTAAACAGACACCTCATCAAAGAACATGTACAGATGGAAAACCTGGCATGTGAGATGTTCATCAGATGTCATTAAGGAATTACAATGAGATAAGATTACCTACACCTAGTAGAATGGCCAAAATCCAAAAGACTGACACCACCAAATGCTGATGAGGATGTGGAGCAACAGGAATGCTCACTCATTGTTGGCAGGAATGCAAAATGGCACAGCCACTTTGGAAGACAGTTTGGCAGTTTCTTACAAAGCTAAACATGCTCTTACAAAATGATCCAGCAATCACATCCCTTGGTATTACCCAAATAGTAAAAAATTACATCCACTCAAAAATCTGCACATGGATGTTTATAACAGCTTTATTTATAATTAACAAAACTTGGAAGCAATCAAGATGTCTTTCAGTGGATGAATGTATAAACAAACTTTAGTCCATCTAGATAAAGGAATACTATTCAGCACTAAAAAATACTATCCAAAACTACCAAGCCATGAAAAGACAGAGGAAGCTTAAATGCATATCACATTACTAAGTGAAAGAAACCAATCTGAAAAGGCTACAAACTGTATAATTCCAACTGTAAGGCGTTCTGGAGAAGGTGCAACTATGGAGACAATAAAAGGACCAGTAGTTCACAGGAGTTAAGGGGAAGGAGGGATGAAGAGATGGAGCACAAAGAATATTTAGGGTAGTAAAAATACTCTGTATGATACTGTAACAGTATGCATCATTGTACATTTGTCCAAACCCATCACATGCACACCAAGAGAGCCCTCAAGTAAAACTATGGACTTTGGGTTTTGATGATGTGTCAGCATGGGCTCAGCATTTGTAACAAATGGACCGCTCTGGTGCAGGATGTCAGTAATAAGGGAGGTTGGTGGGGACAGAGGATATCTGGGAAATCTCTGTACCTTCCACTCAATTTTGCTATGAGTGGAAGGTACAGAGATTATAAAATTGTTTTTAAAAATGAAGTCTCTACTAAAAAATACAATGATAAGTGAGTGGTCTGTTCTAACACTGGAAGAAAGAATGGCTGTGTTAGAGATAGTGCAACAAAAAATCCCAGCAATGTTCATAGAAAAATAATTCATACTAGACAAGAACTGGAAATTGACATATCCGTCAGCAGGTGTGCGGGTAAACACAATGTGCTGTATCTATACCATGTGCATTAAATGTCTATTGCTGCTCTAACCAACTACTGCAAAGGGATAGCCTAAAACAAAACACATTTATGCTCTTGCAGTTCTGGAGAGCCAGAATTCTGAAGTGGATCTTACTGGGCTAAAAATCAAGGTATCAGCAGAGCTGCTTTACTTTCTGGAGGTTGGAAGAAGCCTCATCTCATCTTTTCCAGCTTCTAAGTGCTACTTGGACCCTTTCCATTTTGAAACAAGCAGTGCCAGTTGAGTCTTTCTCACATGGCATTCTTTACTGTCTCTTTCTGCCTCCCTCTTCCATTTATAAGGACCCTAGTGATTACACAATGTCCCCATCTCAAGGTCAGCTGGAATATCGTCATAGATTCATGGGATTACGATAGGGGGCCATTGCATACCATGGAGATCTACTCAGCCATAAAAGGAACAAACTGCATGCAGATAACACCATGAGTAAACCTCACAAACATCATGCTGAGGGGAGAAGTCAGGCACCAGAAAATGCCCACTACATTACTAATTTGCAATGCGCGAACCAGCTCCATTTTCTATTGCTGCATAACAAATTACCCCAAATGGTGGCT